CCCATGAGAAAGCACCCTCAGAGTCAGCACCGCCACAGTCACCACCCCCAACAGCACCGGGTCCACAACGACAGGCTGCAGAGTAGGTGAAGACGACCGAGGCAAAAACCCAGGAGGAGTCTCCAAGTGCGATGAGCAGCGAAAGGCCACTGTATCATCAGCAGCAAATCACCCCGTTCAGCTAGGCTACAGGGGTCTAAGGAGACCTCAAAAGGCTCAACCAAGGGTGGTGGGGTGACCTAAGACTCATCTAAGGGTGCAGGATGTGGAGGGGGAAGGGGATCTACCGAAGGGTAACCTGGGACCAGGAAGAGGGGCAGCGAGGGGACTGGGGAACTACACTGGGGGTAGAGATGGTAGTAGCAGACCAATTCCTCAAAGTTGACATCATGGGAGGACACGACGCGGTGACTAGCTGGGTGGTAAAACTGCTAGTCAGGTGTGTCGACAGGAAAGTCAAGGAAGACGTAGCGAATAGTGCGAGGAGAGAGCTTGCCCGCGGAGGGTCGCGGACAAGGGCAAGCGAACCCTGGACCCGAAACAACAACGCATCTCCAACCTCCCCCATCCAAAGGAGGGTAGGCGAGGAGACACTTGCCAGAGGTTGCTGATGCGTGACGTATCGTACTGCAAACGACTATAGAAAATAGGGACCAGCCGTATGGATCACGGAGGTGCGAGCAACCTCCATGATCAAGCCAATGCGGCGCTCAGCGATCCCATTATGCTGTGGAGAGGCCAGAAGCATGAACGACAGGGCGATGCCCTTCTCACGACAAAAGTCCTCAAGGAGACCAAAGGCAAAATAACCACCACGGTCATAGTGCAGACGGAGCACTGGGAGGTCCTAGCGGAACCGTGCGCTTAGCTGGCGACGAACAGCGTAGATCCAAGGGATCCAAATATCACGGACGTCTCCTTTATTCTCTAAAGGGAAACACCGTGGGGTAGCGTATGAATTCGTCGATGACCAGCAGAAAGTAGCGCTCCCGACGTGGCCCACTGACTTGGGTAGGGCCCCACAAATCCATGTGGAGCGTCTGCAGAGGGGCAGTAGTCAGAGGAAAGGAGGAGGGACAAGGAGACGCAAGTGCAACTAACGTAGGCACTGCAAGAAGGGGTGACCGAGATGGTTTAGCCGGAGGAGGGACGGGTGCGTGAGTAACCGACATGAGCAAGACACAGCGACCTGACATGACGCAGCCACATAAGCAGACTCAGTGTACAGTGTGTACATTCCAGACCCAGGCCTCCGTGCGAACGTGGCAAGGTGGTCTCCATCCTCAGAGTTAGTACAAATCGCCACGCGCTTGCCTCGAGGAGTGGTGGTGGTGAACATCAGATTATGAAGGTGAGCGGCACTCTCCAACGAGGGGAGGTGGAGACCTGTGAGAGAGCCAGAGGGGCTACTGGACATGGGAGAACAGTGGAGCCGCGTGCAATGACTAGGCTAGAGGAAGGATCGGCCAGGATGATCGGGACAGGTGCCGAGAGTGGTGTGAATGTGATGCAGACGCAGAAGAAGCACCGAGACGCGCCACAGTCCAGCATGAAGGCGTGCAAAGCCTCCGCGGGAACTACACATGTGCTAGCAAGCTCTCAAGCACCTAGACTAGTAGCCTCTACACTGCCAGATCTAGGTGTTAGAAGGAAACGATGCAATGAGCAACAAAATGCCGGCGCTCGGATTCAAACTCGTGACCTTCAATCTGTCTCGAAAGTGTCTCAAGAACAGATTCATGACAGTTTCTGCAAGGCGCTAGTGTGAGTTTCGAACTGGAGACTTTTCGATTTAAGTGTCCCAAAAGTATCCTTTCAGGATAGATTGGGGACAGTTTGGGGATAGTTTGGGGTCAGTCAGGCGGAATCAGTCTCGGGTCGCATTTGGTTTAAAGCTCGGCGGCAAAGTGTCGAAGTCAACACAATTCGCAAAGGAGTTAGTCAGTGGTCGACGCAAACCTGGTCACGGAAATTCTTGTCTACGGAATTTTATTCAATGGAATTCGCCCAACAAAATTCAAGGCTCGGAATTTCGCGTCGACGAAATTCGGCGCGCGACCCGGGTCGACACTTTCTTGTGTGCTTTGTTTTTGTATTGCATCCTAGTATAAAACCAGAGAGCACAAACCAGAAATTAATGAAGTCATTATCGCTGCTATGTTTGTGTTTATCTCTGGCTATAGTGAACCGTTTCCTGCAAACTTTGGTGCATTGGATTCGTGCTTTCAACCTCTATCAAGTTGATATAGTAGTGAAATTCTACAAGGTATCAGAGCTGCGTTATCTTGTCGATCCAGCTAGCAGCTTGATTCCGTCCTCTCGTCACCTCGTTCTAACGCTTGTTTTGACCGTGAATGGAGTGGTTAACGAGCGCTGAGGGCCTGAATGCCGGTTAGGAGTTGGAGGCGTCTGTTTGTGAGCACCACCCTTGCTAACGGGAGTTGGGAAATGGCCCTGTCCTCACTTGGGCGGAGCCGACTTCTTGGTCGGGTGTGCGGGAGGTCCAGCCGACCTGCAGCAGTGGGCAACGCCGACTTGGGCGAGCTGGTCGACGGGTTTGGTCGACCTACCCGGGGCCACTACGACACTGCCGACGTTGGGACGCCGGCGGCCGACTTCGATCCGGTGGTCAACGAGGGAAGGGACACCGATGTTGGAAGGCGCCGTCGTCGACCTGAGAGTGGCACCGATTTGGAGGGCGCCGAGTTCAGGTGGTCGGCTTGGCGAGGTCGACCTAGGAGGCACCGACTTTGTGACGCCGACTTGGAAGGACGCATGCGTTGTGAAGTCGGCTAGAGGACGTCGACCTGGGTGGTCGACGCGCACGTACAACAGCTCGTCGACACCGGCCACACAAGTCGACGCCGACTTGGTGGTTGCCCGGTCGACCAGGTTACCCGGGCGACGGGGACCTGCAGAGGTGCATGATCGTTGCTCAGGTGGTGTTGGCGAAGCCAATCTCAGAGGTGGTATTCTGAGGTCCACGTGGCGGATCAGGTGCAGGCGTAGGCACGTGGCCAGTTGGAAGCTGTGCTGTGCACATGTCAGGGCTCAGCACGCCAACCAGCTGCGAGCATCTGCAAAGCGGGTGCATTGCTGTCATGCGGGTGCAGCGCTGTGCAGCCGCCTTGTTGCAACGCTGGCACGCCGTCGACTTGCTGTGTTGGTAGACCGCCACTTTGTACTGCAGGAGTGAGGTCGACCTTGTCGTGATGGAACGCGGTCGACCGTGCTGCGGTGGCAGTCGACCTGCTTGCATGCTAGCTCCTGATATAGTTAGTATTGCTTTGCCATTGTTGCCATTCTTGTCAACTTTTGCTAGTGGAAGTCTTGCCAATTTTCCCTGTTAATGTGCGCATAGAGAAAACACGAGCAAACGACTTAGGAACGCAGAGATCACTCCCACAACTGTGCCTACCCTATAGTCAAGCTCTCGTTGTACGAGTCATCTCCGCATGGTGCGGTGAGCGTGGACGGCCTTGCAAACTTACCTTCAGGATTAGCCGAGTTATGTACACACAGCCTAGTTTGTGAGTCGACAGGCAGCCATTGTAGTCACCATGGTCGGCCCCGTTGTTGAGGCGGGTGGAGCGGACACGTTGGAGACTCGGTTAGCTGATGCGAGGAGACGCCACGAGGCTGGCGAATTCAGGACGGTGCTCCCCTTGGAGGTCGTCGAGCTAGGCATCCGCGCCAAGTGGGTGGCGGAACACCCCTCCCGATCTGCATCTCCTCAACCAGTGCAGAATGGAGACGGCGTCGACGAAGAGGTCGACGGCGGTGCTCAAGTCGGCGGCAGTGTGGGCACGCGGCAAGTCGGAATGATTAGGACCAGCAACGTCGGAGTCGGTGGGAATCAGGCACGAGTGCAGCGGTCGGCGGCCGCGGGCAGCTCGCATGGCGACGTCGGTGGACGACGTCCCCCTCCCCAGTAAAGCAGCGCGACGCCAGCGTCGACAACCCACGTGACGGCGGGCGGAATTGCACCAACCTATTGCTACTTCAAGTTCTCGCCGGATAAGGCCGCCGTCACCGTTGCACTGGTCGGTCGTCACAACCTCATCACGTGGAAGGAATCCATCGAGCCCCAGCCAGAGATGGCCGGGCTGATGTGCTTCGTCGACGGCAATGTGGAGACGCTGCCGGAGTCCAACGCCGAGCTGCATGCGGAGTTTTGCGCCGTGCACCTGCTGACCTTCATGGTGATCTCGCGGTGCTGCTCGCCTATGGTGCAGATCGCCCTGAAGTTGTACCGAGGTCACCTGGACACCAACCACCGGGCGTGGCAGTTCATCACACCGACGTACCAGGCTACCGAGGACCTGTACATCGGCCACCTGGAGGAGCAGATGACGCACCTGAGGATGAGCGAGCACGAGACGGCAACCGACTATTGCAACCGGGCTCAGCGGCTGCTGGCCTACATGCGGATGGCCTGCGTCACCTACTCAACAGTGTCGTACATCATGCATGCTGATATGGCAGTAAGCGTGCCAGTTCTGTGCGGCGTCATGCACATACATGGCAGTGGCAACGTGAGCGGTGTTCTCCCCACTCCATTCATCCACGACCTGCAATCTCTGTGGGCCCTCAATGGTCACCTCATGCTGTTACACACCTCTGTACATTCATTGCGCTCACTTCATCTCTTATTGTGGTATTCGTGAGAAGTGCTGCACTCACAAGACTGCCAATTGCATAATCAGAAACGACAGTAGCAACCGCAATAGGGCCGGTATTCATATGTTGCATCAGGAAGAAGAGGTCGGGTCAACACCGAGATATGGGCATACACAATACACCCCTTATACCACTATCATCACAACTAGACCCTTGTACCTATAAACCTCCAGCGCATAACATAGCACGATCCACAAGTCGATCCCTACGGCCAGATAACCCCGACTCCTTCAGTCGTCAAATCACTTGAGCATGCGCGTGTTGCTGCAGGTTGTGTAGAGATCGCCTTTAGCGACGACGGTGCGTGAGTTGGCACTCCCCTAAGCTTGGCGGGGGTTGACATGCCAAAGAATGGCGTTCTCAGTGATTATCACATCAAACCACTCCTCCAATACGCTCCGCGCGACGTGCACCTTCCGCCACACCTGCACGCGGATGAGAAAGAAATGATTTGAGGTGGTAAGGTGGGCAGGCGATACTTGGGCAGGCGGTGAGGTGGGCGAGGATAAAGGAAGCAGAAAGGGGGGAGGGAGGGAAGGGGATGGGGGGGAAGCAGGGAAGAGGATGGGAGGAAGCTGGGAAGGGGATGGGGGGAAGAAGGGATTGGGATGGGCGAAAGCAAGGATTGGGATGGGCGGAAGCAGGGAAGGGGATGGGGGGAAACAGGGAAGTGGATGGGGGGGAGCGGGGAAGGGGATGAAGGGAAGCAGGGAAGTGGATGGGGGAAAGCAGGGAATTGAAGCAGGGATTCCGATGGGGGGAAGCAGGGAAGGGGACACGGGGAAGTAGGGAAAGGGACACAGGGAAGCAGGGAAGGGGACACGGGGAAGCAGGGAAGGGGATGGGGGGAAGCAAGGAAGGGGACACGCGGAAGCAGGGGATGGGGGGACGCAGGGAAGGGGATGGGGGGAAGCAGGGGACACGGGGAAGTAGGGAAGGGGACACGGGGAAGCAGGGAAGGGAACACGAGGAAGCAGGGAAAGGGACACAGGGACACAGGAAAGCAGGGCGAGGATGCAAGGGCGATGAGGGGAGCGAGATACGGGGAGGGCGAGGGGACGAGCGAGAGGGAGGGCGATGAGCAGCAGGGAGCGCGATGAGACAAAGGGGGGCAACAAGCGGAAGGGAGCGCGACGAGGGGAAGGTAGGGCGGCGGGTGGTTGGGAGGGCAATGGGAGGAAGGGAGGGCAACGAGACGAAGGGAGGGTGACGGGCGGAAGGGAGGGCGACGGGCGGAAGGGAGAGCGACGGGCGGAAGGCATGGGGACGGGCGACGGGCGGAAGGGAGGGCGACGACGGAATGGAGGGTGACGGACGGAAGGGAGGGCGACGGCGGAAGGGAGTGCGACGAGCGCTAGGGAGTGCGACGAGCGCTAGGGAGGGCGACGGGCATAAGGTAGGGCGACGGCGGGAGGGTGGGCGATGGGCGTAAAGGAGTGCGACGGGCAGAAGGGAGTGCGTTTACGCGGAAAGGAGTGCGATGGGCGGAAGCGGGTGCGTCGAGAAGCTGGCAAGCATCTTGAAGAGCTGCTCATCGCCCGTTCCTTGCGCTTCGAACGTACATGTAAGCGCCATCGCCCCTATAGAAATGGGCGTGGCGCATGACGTTTTTCTTTACGCCAGCCAATATTTTTTGTTTTGCTGGAGAACAAAGGCTGCTGCAACGATACAGACAGATCGCTGCCATTGTGAAATTGAGAGCTCACGCACTTGTGGTCCTGAATAGCGGAGTAGACTACGGGTATTGCCTGAAAAAGGCTGCCCATTAGTACAACTTGGTTTTCAAGTTAAAACTCGCGTCTCATATTTCCAACCGTTTAATACTTGGTTGGGTTTGCCCGACTGTGATTGGGTAACGAAAGCGATATATTTGACGAGCGGGCGAAAAACTCACAGCGAACTACCAAAACAGTCGAGGCCAAAACAAACCAGGGTGGGTTGGTTTGGGTGGAAAACGAGCCAAGGGGGACAGGTTCGGTCCCCCCTTCTGTCAACGTTGAGTTTCAGAGTCTCATATTTTTGGAAGTTGTAAACGGTTGGTGTGTACGATAAGTGTGCGACAGCCAACTTTCCCAAACCACCCCTTGCTTTGGTGTGCTTTGCGACAAACTTTGCTGTTACCAAATTCCAACCGTTTAACACTTGGTTGGATAGGAGAAATATGAGACACGAGCTTTAACTGAATGTCAACACTGCACCATCTCCCTTTGACACGAACACCCGGAAGACTTATTTTGTCGCTGGCCAATCATGCATCAGACTTGTGAAAACTCTCCTCTGTGAAGCGACGGAATGCATTATTTCAGGTAGTAACCTGGCTAGTTCATAATCAAGAATCTTGAATTTGAAAACAGCCATGTGGAACTGGGGCTTTGAGCCACTGTCCAAAGCTCCCACCCAGACAGCCCTAGACCTCTGCAATGAGAGGCGTAAATGTCAGAATGTATCATATGTCGAGTCTGCAGTAAGGTACTCTATAGTGAGTACAACCCAATTAGGGTTTGCTATATGTACTACCCTACTTACTAGTGCAACCCCTCTTTCCTGTTCTAACTTTCTGCTCACTATTCTGACATGCTATCAGGGCGGTTACGCTCCTGGCCTGTGGGCCCACCGTTAGCTTCCGTTGTCTGTCGCGCATGTTGGTGCAACCCTACGGTTTGCACTCGGCTTGTTGTCCGTGTGCGTGCATGCGTGTGTGCATGGAATGGTATGAGGGCATGGGATAATATATATTTCATGCTTATAATAGTGTGTGTATGATGGGTCATGATGTCGAGTGTGTGTGTGTCAAGTCAATAGCGAGTTATCGCTAGTCGCGTGTAACGCGGTCATTTTGTGTGTCCCGCGCGGTTTCTATTTTGTCGTGCGCGGTTTCTATTTTGTCGCTTGTCGAACATTTGGCGTGTTGCAGGTGTGTGCAGCAGACCCATCAAGAACTCGAGGATGAGTTTGTGATGAAGAACCCGAGCCTTGGTTGCAAGCTTCAAGTGATTTCGAAGCTCGCCAAAAGGGTACACCTCAAGATATTGTGACAAAAGTTAGAAGAAAGAAAGAGGGTTGAACTAGCAAGAATGAGGATACAAATAGCAAACCCTAGAAGGGTTGTACTCGCTATAGAGCACCCCACTACAGGCTAGAACAGAAGAATAATATTCTGACACACCCCCATAGCCAAAGTGGGGTGTAATCAGCAGAGCAGGCAAAGCAAAACAAGCTCAGGGTGGATCACAATGTCACCACACATTCTAAGCACAAGTTCAAGAAGAAATAGTTTAGAGTTCACAATTATAAGCAAAGCTAGTGGTAGTCACAACGGGCAAGTGAGGAGGAGGAGGGAGAGTGAGGGGAGAGGAGACAGGAGGCGACGGCTGAAGCTGCAGACACACGGGCAACAGGAGGCAGACTGGCACAGCGGCTACCGGACAGCGCCCGGACTACAGGAGTAACAGGCCCCGCGGCTCAAATAGCGGCGGACGGGCAACGGACCCACGGGCGGCTGGCACAGCTGGCTACGACTGGGCTACCGGGACAGCGCCCCGGACTACAGGTGCTGCGGACGACAAGCCGGCAGCCTCCGCTCAACCTCCCGCAAACAGTCCCACCCCCCTGATACACACCCACTGCTACACCGCTAGCTCTACTCCCACGCACCCCCCCTTAAACCCTAAACCCCAGTCTCCCACACAACCACCCCCCTCAGCGACAGCTGCAGCAGTGGGAGACGAAGGAGGAGGAGGAGCAAGGGAGGAAGGCACACCGGCCACCCCCATACCCGCCACCCCACAGCTCGGCCCCCTCAGGTCGCCTCGACGGACGACGGGAAATGGCAGGGGGAAGGGGGGGGGGGGGGGGGGGGGGGGGGGGGGGGGTGTGGTGAAAGGGGCCCACCACGGGCCTGGTTGGAGGGCGGAGCCGCGACAAGGGGCGGGACCGCGACGGTCGGGGCGGGGCCGCGACGAGGGGCGGGGCCGCGACGTAGGGCGGGGCCGCTTCGAGGGGCGGGGCCGCGACGCAGGGCGGGGCCGCGACGTAGGGCGGGGCCGCGTCGAGGGGCGGGGCCGCGACGGTCGGGGCGGGGCCGTGACATAGGGCGGGGCCGCTTCGAGGGGCGGGGCCGCGACGCAGGGCGGGGCCGCGACGTAGGGCGGGGCCGCGTCGAGGGGGGGGGCCGCGACGGTCGGGGCCGCTTCGAGGGGCTGGGCCGCGACGCAGGGCGGGGCCGCGACGTAGGGCAGAAGCCCGCCGCGCGCCTCGGGGCGCACAGCGGGCAAAGAACCGCCGCGCGTTTCGGGGCGCACGGCGGGCAGAAAACCGCCGCGCGCCTCGGGGCGCACGGCGGGAGGAAAAAAAGTAGCAGCGGAAGCGAGGTGGTAACCCACCCACAGGATCGATCCAAGGGGATCGACCTGCTCTGATAGCATGACAAAGTTTGAAGAAAGAAAGAGGAATGAACTAGCAAGAATGAGGATACAAATAGCAAACCCTAGAAGGGTTGTACTCGCTATAGAGCACCCCACTACAGGCTAGAACAATAAGATAATATTCTGACATATTGAAGATAGTTACATTACTTTGTAAAGTGTAACATTTCAGTTGGTGTAGGCCCTTGTGAAGGGTAGTTTCGAGACCCTTCTTGATTGTGGACAATGTGGCACTATTCCACATCACTGTACCTCGGCTCTTGGGGTTTGTAGGAGCTGGTAGTCATTCCCAACTCGTAACTCTTGCTAACTCTTCCTACTATGTGTGCTAAGACTATAGTGGCTGCCATAGTGCCGTTCGTTCAAACCGACGCTGTGTCGTCAATACTTGGCCAAATCGTGCGATCTAAATTACCTATTGTAGGCTCGTTAAGACGCTCTAGATTCAAGTTGAATCAGGTCATTTTAAGTTGTGACGAGAACGCTATGAACGTTTAAAGCCGCTGTGGAAAAATCCGACTGTGTGTCAAACATTATATATGTTATGCTTGTGTAGGCTACAGTGGGTTAGCCTATAGGGGGTACACAATTCTAGGGTTTCCTACTTGTACTCATTTCACTGCTAGTTCATTCATTCCTGTTCGCTTATTCTCACATGGTATAGAGCGGGTCCTTCTAAGGACCGTTTTTTTTGGGCCCACCGAAGCGCGCCCCGAGGCGCGATTTTTTTTTAGCGACCCCTCGGGTCGCCTTTTCCCCTGCGGCTCAGCCGCCTCCACTGACGCGGCCCCGCCGCCCTACCTTACGCGGCCCCGTCGCCGGCTCTCACGCGGCCCCGCCGCCGACTCTGTCGCGGCCCCGCCCCGGCCTTTACGCGGCCCCGCTGCCTGCTCTCACGCGGCCCCGCCCCGGCTCCTACGCGGCCCCGCCCCGGCCTTCACGCGGCCCCGCCGACGGCTCTGTCGCGGCCCCGCCCAGGCTCTTACGCGGCCCCGCCGCCTACTCTCGCGCGGCCCCGCCCCGGCTTTCACGCGGCCCCGCCGACGGCTCTCTCGCGGCCCCGCCCCGGCTCTCCCGTGGCCCTGTCCCGGCTCTTACGCGGCCCCTGCCCCGGCTCTTACGCGGCCCTGCCGCCGGCTCTCTTGCGGCCCCGCCCCGGCTCTCACGTGGCCCCGCCGTTGGCCCTCTCCAGGCCCCGCCGCCGGCTCTCTTACGGCCCCGTCGCCGGCCCTGACGCGGCCCCTGCCCCGGCTCTCAAGCGGCCCCGCCGCCGGCTCTTTTGCGGCCCCGCCGCCGGCTCTGACGCGGCCCCGCCCCGGCTCTCATGCGGCCCCGCCGCCGGCCCTCACGCGGCCCCTACCCGGCTCTCTTGCGGCCCCGCCGCCGGCTCTGAAGCGGCCCCGCCCCGGCTCTCACGCGGCCCCGCCGCCACACCTGCAGCAGTCGGGCAGCAGTGCAGCCGAACCGCCCGGGAGCCGAGCCGCCCAACGCCGAGCCGCCCGGGAGCCGAGCCGCCCTGCACCCAAGCCGCCCTGCCGCCGAGCCGCCCGGGAGCCGAGCCGCCCTGCGCCCGAGCCGCCCAGCCGCCGGGCCGCCCGGGAGCCGAGCCGCTGTGCACCCGAGCCGCCCGGTCGCCGAGCCGCCTTTCTGCAGAGCTGCACGACCTGCCCTGCCTGGTGAGCACAGTCCCACTGTCACTGCGAGCTCTTTCCCTACTGCTTGCATTGCGTCGCTGTCGTCGCCATGGCTACCCCTAGTGTCCTAGCTTTTGACGCTGAGGGTCGCGCCATTGATTTTGAGGTCTGGTTAGACGACCTGCAGCTGTTCTTACAGTGCGACAGGGCTGACGGCCTTTCTCTCTTTGACCTCACCTCTGGCGCCTCTCCTGCTCCTGCTGCTGATGCTGATCCCACTGTCCGCTCTCAGTGGGCCACCCGCGATGCTGCTGCACGTCTTGCTGTGCGTCGCCACCTCCCTACCTCTGAGCGTGCGCACTTTAGTCAGTACAAGAGTGCTCAGACCTTGTACGACGCTGTAGTTGCGCGCTACTCCTCCCCTGCCACTGCTGCATTGAGCCGTCTCATGCTTCCCTACCTCTTCCCTGACCTCTCTGCCTTTCCCACTATCGCTGACCTCATTACGCACCTCCGCACTAGTGACACTCGCTACCGCGCCGCCC